AAGGCTTCATTGGGGGCTGCACTGATGATGTTACCCAGCCGGGTAATGAAACATCTGCGGAACAACAACAAACCAGCTCGGCGAGCCAACCAATTGCAACATCCACAACCCGAGCTACAAATCTACTCCAAAACCTTCGAGAAGCATTAACTGTGTTTCTGTCTTAGATGCTGCCAGATCTGCTGCATTTCTCTAAAATTCTGTTTTTATTAATTTACTTTTCCCTGATTACAACTGCAAAGGTATACCAGGACGTTGTTTTGGAGTATTGCAACTCATACTGTGAAGGTGCTCTTGCTGTAAATAAGGGTTTTTTATATTAGTAAAATAATACAATCGTTTAAATTCTTAGCTCTGTTGTGAAAACTAATTGAAACTTACTCATCACCCCTCCACCAATACTAATCCACCTTCTGTTTAGAAAAAAAAGCACAAATATTATCTTGTCATTATTTTCTGAATTTTTACATACAAAATTCTGGTGAGTTTGTGACAGTTCATGAATGTTTTCTTTGCTGCAATTCTTTCTCAGGGTGTCTGTTTTCTCTGGATTCCAAAACGCGGCTTAATACTTTTCGCTGTCTTTTATAGCATTGGAAACATAGCATCCATTGGTAGGTAAGTAACTATTAAATTGTAAATAACAAGACTGTATTTAACTGCAGTAGAATCAGAGAAACTGATACTTTTTAATCATTTGTCAGATTTGTAGAAGAACTATTTGAGGCATGTGGTTCCAAACTTTACCTGTAGAAATCCATGTTTACTTTGAGCTTGTATCTTTGCTTATTTTAAATGTATTAATTTCAACTTTTAAACATTACAAATTAAATCCATCCTCAACGTTGTGATATTTTACATTGAGCAGGTTTCAATATTGCATATATATCAGAGTATTAGGGAGAAATTTTTTTGTCTTTACTTTTGATTACATTTATTTGCTGTACATTGGGCATTTAATGAGATGTCAGTGCTTTTATTTTCCTCAATGTACAGTGGAGTTTTACAAGCTCCTTTCTACAGTGTCCCAGTTTTGTGCTTTAACTGTAGCTACTTGGAACTATTCAGCCCCCCATTATTTTCTCAGTCCCTAAACTAGTTATGCTGTGGAACTTCTGAGGGAAGCATTTGAAATTGAGGTGTGACAGTTTGAATTCACTTGATTTGCATTTGTGCAGACTGGTTTCTATATCCTCTTGCTTTGGGCTACGTTAAAGGTGGCTCTGTTACAACAGGTTCTACCAAGAAATTCATGGTCCTGTTATTTGAACTGGATTTGTATTGTTCCATGAGCAGCATTAGAGGACCAACAGGAATTTTGAAACTTGCAACTTGAAGTGTTGATCCGTAAAATAGTTAAAGATTTTAGGAAGATGCCTCTCGACTGCCAGACTTCTTATAAGGCTTCCTACTATTTGTATGAAATTTCAGTGGTATGTCGTCTAGGTTTCCTTAGTTAATAAACATATGCATTGGCAAGCCCTTAATTGTAAAGAGCATCATGGCTGAACTTGATAGTGACCTCTTCCATTTTGCATGCACCCCTTGTATGATAGGGTTGCTTAGGTGTTAGGAGCAGGAATTCCAGCTGGTTAGCAACTGGCTACTTCATTGTATTGAAATAATTGTATTACTAATTCAGGAGTATTGACATGTAGTACCTTGCTGCTCGGAGATCAGCAAACTAAGCAACAAGGGTTAAACTTGGGACCTTTTTAAGTTGCCTGACTCAACTACTTGTTCCCTTATTAACTTGATCCAGGGGATTGTCCTTAACATAAGAAAAGTTATTAATAAACTTGGCATGACGATGGTTTGTATTCAACAAGTATTTGAATAGTTCCTTGCACAAAGTAGATCTGCCTTGATGTTTGTACGTATTTCTGTATTGTGATACTGATTTAAAATGTTAGAGAATGTTAATTTCTCAAAAACAAGTGTTGGCAATATCTAGAAACTAATGATTTTATCAGACTGCAATTTGAATATATTGTGTTAAGTTTCAAATGTTGGATTTACAAAATGTTTTGGAAACCAAATTAGCATGTTAAAATTGAAAACATTTGAAATGATCTTTGAAATTTCTGATGGGTAACAGGGCAGGTTTTCAAAAAATAAATCTCTACTCTGTTTTGTTGGGATTTATTCCAAATTCAATTATTGCAGAAGGAAAGAACAATCTATCACCTGTGTATGAACCTGCTCTGCAGAGCTTTGTCCCACACCAATTATCATGTTTCTATCAGGAATAATGTAACTTGCAATTTTGTGACACATGGTACTGTCTTGTTTTTCACCATAGTACATTGTTTCTAATGGGACCTGTGAAACAAATTAAAAAAATGTTCGAGCCTACTCGACTGGCTGCTACCATTGTGATGCTTGTAAGTTTTAAAATACTATTTTCATTATCTCTCTGCTGGAGCTATTGTTAATTCTGTTCTGTATTCAAAAGCAGAATGTCCTTTATGGGTAATTATCTAGTACTTAATTTAGTTTTGATTTACTCCAAACATGACTTCTCATTTGTAATCTTATTTGTCTTGGCTAAAAAGGGAGCTAGAAACAGAAAATTAAACAAGACTCTTAATTAGACGTGAAGATTGCTCCTCTTCACACTAAGAGGAGTGACAAATGAATTTCCATATATATGCAGACACCATCCTCCTTTGGTTCTGGCTTTGCTCTGCTGTTTACAAATTTGCTGCTGCATTTGACTGAGAAATGAGCTTTAAGTCGCATATCCTCACCATCACCGAAACCACACACACTTTTTTTCCACCTCCTTAACATCATCCATCTGTACTTATGTTCCAATCCTTTTTACTTCTTTGTGGAATATTCTAGCAGTTGGTCTCCCATTTTCAATCCTGCATAAATTTTAAATTGATTAATACTCTCATGCCCTTGTCCTAATTTGTACATGTTATTCACTAATTGCCCCTGTGCTTGCTGCCTTAACACTGGATCTCAGTTAGTCAATGATGATTTCAAAATTCTCATCCTTGATTTTAAATCACTGCATACATTAACTCAGTTCTGTCGACCCACTCTGTAATCTTTTCGAGCTCAACAAACCTCCTTGATATCTGTGCTTCTCTAATTCTATCTTTTAATTGCTCCATTGCTGTCTCCAAGCTCTTTTAATTTCCTTCTCAAAACTTCTTTCCCTCTTGGCAACTCATTTCCTCTTTTAAGACACTTCTTCTAAAAACCTACTTCTTTACCCAAACATCTGATTGTCTGATCTGTTATCTCTTTTATGTGGCCTGTTATATCTTATATATTCCTATTTATATATTTCATACTTTAGAATACTTCTGTGAAGTGCCTTGGGAAATTTTTATTATGTTGAAAGATGCTGTATAAATACAAATTTCTTATGAAGAAGTATAAGTGGGCAAAGTTTATTTCTACCAATACCCCTGAACAGCTTGAGCTTGTACATTTTTTGGTTACAAAAGCCAATTGCAACAGATGCTAGAAATCTCAAATAAAAGCAAAACTGCTTAAAATACTCAGCAGGTCATGCAACATCTGTGGAAAGAAACACAATTCATGTTTCAGGTGCAGATGATCTTTCATTTGTTCTGAAGAGAGGTCATTTCGACCTGAAATAAAATGATACTGATCAAGAGGTTCTCATTTACATGCATCAAGCTTGGGGTTGTACATAATACAACATTGTCAAATTCACAATATGTTATGGAGTTGTTATTCCACACAATGATTCAATTTTTGGCAATAGCAATTATGCCAACATATTCCAATTCTACATCTGACCTGATCATGGCCTATCCTTTTTCATCTGGGTATTTATTTTCATGATTTTGTTTTCTTTTACAGCACTACATTATTTATAATTGATCTAGAACTCCAGAAACTGCTTTAAAAATATTTATTACAGTTAGATTTATTACTTTTAAAGCATACAGGGACTCATTACCAGTGTAATCCACATTGACCAAATGACGATTTCTAAAAACTGTGTTTCCATTTTAATTGGATTGTGCAACTTCATTTTCTGTGATAATTTGATAGGAAATGGTATCGAAAATGTTTGAAAAGTAGCTATTTTGCAATTAGCTATTTTAGAAGGTAGAGAGGATGTAGTTACGCTTGTGTAACCTACCACACTTCAATCTAAATGTCTTTTTTTAAAATTAACACTCAATAGCTGAATTGAAGCTGAAATGATTTTAAAAATTTACATACTATTCATTTGTTTACTAATGCATAGCATGCAAAGGAATTGAGACTAAAATCACTTTATTCAATTAATTCAATAAAGATCAAACTATTTTGGTCAAATAGAACTAGTTATCTTCAAGACCACTTCATTTTCAGAGAAGGGGAGAATGATTGTTCCATTACATTATAGACTACAATGCAATTGTATTCCAATACTGATTAATGATGAACCATTTTATAGTTGTGAACATGGGAACAGGAGTAGGCTATTTGATAAGATCATGGCTGATCTGTGGCCTAACTCAATTTGCCTGCTTGTGCCCATATCCCATATAAGAAAATTGTCTAATTCAGACTTAAATTTAACAACTGAATTAGTATCAACTTCAGTTTGAGGAATGTTCTTTTGCATGTGTAAGTGCTTTCTAACTCCTGAATGGACTGGTCATAATTCTTAGACCATGGCTCCAGTTCTAGAATCTTCAACCATGAAAATAGTTTATAGGGGCATGGAGATAGGCCTTTTGGCCCAAACTGGTCCGTGCCAACCGATATGTTCATCCACGCTAAACCCCGTTTCCCTGCACATGGCCCATAGCCTTATAAACCTTGTGTTTGTCCAAATGCCTTTTAAATGTTGTTAATGTACCTACCTCAACCACTTCTGTTGGTGGCTTGTTCCACATACATACCACCCTCTGAGTTTAATAAAAATAGTTGTCCCTGAGGTTCCCATGAACTCTTTCCCCTCTTAGCTTAAACTGATGCCCTCTTGTCCTCGATTCCCCAACTGTGGGGGGGGGGGAAAAGACTGAGAGTGCATTCATGTCTCTCATGATCTTCTACACTTCTATAAGATCCCCTCTCAGTCTCCTATGCTGTAAAGAAAAAAAAAAAGGTCCTAGCTTGTCCAACCTCTCCTTGTAACTCAGTCACTTGAATCCTCGTAATGCGTTTGTAAATTTCTTCTGCAGGCTTTCTGGTTTAATAACATCCTTCCTATGGCAAGGTGACCAAAACTGAACACAGTGTTCCAAGTGTGGCCTCACCAATATCCTGTATAACTGCAACGTAACTTCCCAACTTAATGCCCTGACTGATGAACGCCAGCGTGTCAAAAGCCTACTCCAGTGCCCTGTCTTATCCTGTTAATGTCCTGAAGACCTTGATTAGATCACCCCTTAACCTTCTAAATTCTAGTAAAAACATGACTGATTTGTCTAATCTCTCCTCATAACTTAACCCCTGAAGTCCAGGTATCATCCTTGTAAGACTGTTGAACACCCTCCAGCCTCAAAGCATTTTTCCTAAGGTGTGGTATCTGATCTGCTCTCATACCCTAAACAAGATCTAACAATGATTTTGTCTAACTGCAAAATAACATCTGCGTCCTATACTCCAACCCTTTTTAGTTATAAAGGCCAGCATTTCCTTAGCCGTCTTGACTATTTTCTGCACCTGTTCATGGCATTTTAAAGAGCTTTGTGCCTGAACCTCCAAATCTTGAGGGACATCCACTGAATTTAACTTTGTGCCTTCTTTAAAAAAAAAAAGCCCTGATCTATCCTTTTTGAATCTGAAATGAATAATCTCACTTGCATGTATTAAAATCCATCCGCCACAAGTTGTGCTCATTCACCTCATTTACCAAAATGCTGTTGTAATATTGTTGTCATCAACACTGCCTACAATGCTGTTAATTTAGTGTTGTCAGCAAATTTGGACATTTGACTTTTTATGTCGTTATCCAAGCCATTCATTAATAATGTGAATAATTGAGGCTGCAACATGGATCTTTATGTGACACCATTAGTCATATCCTGCCAATTTGAGTACTTACCCATTATTCGAACTCTCCATTTCCTGCCACTCAAACAATTACCTATTCATGTCAATAACTTGCCCTTAATTCCATGGGCTTCCACCTTAGCTAGCAGTCCCTTGTGTCACACTTTATTAAAAGCCTGCTGGAAGTCCATACAAACAACATCCATCAACTTACCACTGTCCATCACCATTCTGACCTCTTTCCAAAAAAAAATACTGAGGTTTGTCGGGCATGACCTAACTTTCATGAATCTGTGCTAACTCTCCATGATTGACTAAAATTTTTCGAGGTGATCCTGTTTGTGGTCTCCAACAATTTCTCCATCACAGACATTAGGCAAACTGATCTGAAATTCCCTGGTTTCCCTCTGTTACCCTCCTTTAAAGGGCAGAGTGACGTGAACAAATTTTCGATCCAGAGGTACAATTCCGGGATCCCGGGGACTGTGAATGATTGAGTAGGGCATCAGCAGTGTGGTCTCCTAACTCCTTTAACAACTGTACATGGAAACCACCAGGTCCTTTGTCACTCTTCAGTTTCTTTAATTCCCCCATTACTGATTTATTTAAGCTAATTTTATTTAGACGCTGTCCCTGATCCTCTGTTAACTTTTTTTGGGACTTCCAGAAAGCTATCCTTCTTTTCTGCAGTGAGCTGATCTATGGGCAGAGCTTCCTAGTTTATTGTGGACAGTCTCTGCCTTATCCCACAAACGTCTTAAATCCAAAATTCTAGTATCCAGTCTTTGCTTAATTCTTATAACTGCAACATAGAACTCAATCACGTTGTGATCACTATTTGACAAATGCTCACAAACAGTTTGGTCACTAATTAAACCAGGCTGATTGCTCATCACTAGATCCAGGATTGCTTGTTTCTTTGTCAAATCCAAGATACATTGTCATAGGAAACTATCCTAGGCACACTCTAGAAATTCACAATCTTTCTGGCAGGTGCTTGTCTATCTCACCCAGCGTATGTTAAGATTAAAATTCCTCCATTAACACTACTCTGCTTTTGCTACATAGTTGTGTAAGTTCAGCTTTTATATAATCTAGTACTTCTGAGTGGCTGCTAGGCTGTCTATATATGATAGCTGTTGCAGTTTTAGTTCCTCTGTAGTTCCTCAGTTCCACCCATAAGGTCTCCAATGGGGGCTTTCACCTGATTACCATATGTACTTGTTAGATTTCAATGAATTGTGACCTGAACTACATTAACTAAAAAAAGTGCAAACTTGTAAATAAGTACTTCTCAGTGAGGTTGAGACAAGCACGGTTCAAGTACAGCTAATAGGAAAATCTAGGCTGTTGATCCATTCTGGACTTGTATGGTCTCTTTGTAGCAATGCATTTTTGGAGATGTATGATAATACATTGCGTGGCTCTGTACTGTTGTAAGTTTGGGATGTCCATGTAGCACTATGTTGAGTACTAATAGCATTACAAAATGGTGCTATTTCAGTAAGATTTCCATTGATGATCTTTTCCTATGGCACTTTCCCTCATGAATCTGATTGAAAATTGTCTTCAAGCTGGTAAATTTTATCCTGTGTACTATCTCCAGAAGAACACTGCTGGAAATTGTGTAGTATTTTTGCTCTATTCTCAAATTTCTGTCTATTCCTGGGTTAGTTTATGGCTCAAAAAGTAACAGAATATCACGTTGCAACTAAATTTCCTGTCATTTGTATTTTCATAACCTCTTCTGAATGAATTATAAGGGACCCGGAATGAAGGTGCAACAAGTGTGGTTCTGAATATTAAGCTTGGGCATTTACCAAGGATTGAAGTTGCCAAGGTTCTGAAAAGATTATTGTTGGGAGAAAATATTATTCAACCTGCCTTTTATTCTATAAACCACAAACAGATTTGAAAAGTGATTAATAATGAATTTGTCAATAGAGTAGTTTTACTTTGACGCAATCAGCAGATACGTGTAGGAATGCTGAAGGTTGTGGCTATGTTGAGAGTTATCTCAGTGTGACATCTTTTCTTGCAGGTTTGCCTGGTGTGTACATTATGTTCTGCTTTTTGGGTATGTTTTCTTTATCATAAACACATAGTATAAAAAGATTTTTTGTAAATTAGGCTCATTTTATGAAATTGTCTAATCTATCTTCACTTTCAATTGTAGTGGAAGAAAGCAGCACTTGCTTTAATATTTTGCGTCTTGCAGTTCTTTGCTATGGCCTGGTAAGTAAACATGTATGTGCTCAATTTAAAACAAGGTGAGGCTTTTTTTGTCCATTTACATGCATGGCATAATTAATATACTTATTTGATGCTTTACATGTTTATTGACTGTAAATGAAATGGCTGCATGAATTTTTCTCCTCATTGCAAAATGTGAAGAAAACTGAGTCAAAATGACATGCATTACATTACCAAGAAAAAAATATCTAACAGCAGTGTAGGTAATGGATACTTCAGTGCTCTGCCCTTTCATTCACTAAAAACATGTTCCCTAATCACCTTATCACCAGCAAAGGGCTGAGTCCAAAATCAGTTTAAGTGAGAAATTAGTTAAGGTGACATTTTCTCCTGGTTTCATTACTTACTCAGTAGTTTTGGCAAGTATGTTAAGTATGTTAAATTTGTAAATTTCAAAAGTTATCTCAAAACTGCTGGGAGAGCTGATGTAAAAATGGAAACCTTTCAAAAGGCGCATTGTGAGTAAACTAGCTCAGCAACCTCTAGGGCAAACCTCAGGTGACCTGATTTTCCTGTTTGAGTGAAAGCAACAGCTTTGAGTTCCAGGATTCTGTCAGAAGATTAATTTTTAACAAAGCATTGAATTGTAGACTATCTATAAGCATCAACTGTTCGCAAATTTAAAATTGCATGCATTTTTAATAATAAACTTACAGCCGTGTAGGCAGTGGTAATGGATACTTCAGTGCTGTGTGTCTTTACCCACTGAAAAAAGGTTCCTGATAATAGCCTTATAATCAGCAAAAGGCCAGATTCAAAATTAGTCTAAATGAGAAATTTGTTTTTATTATTGGTTTCATTACATTATATTCTATTAAATAGATTCTTATAAAAAAGCAATGAGAATTTTTTTCTCTTTCTGTTTGTCATTTTCTGTACAAATAAATTGATATAACCTCATAGAATTACACAATATTTGCTTTAGCATTAGCTCAAAACCTAAAAAAAGTCCTTCTGTTCCTTTATTGAAGACGAAAGCTTGAACTGTGAGTCAACTCAGCCTGTTTATTAACTTGCGTTCTTATGTTAAATTGCTTGTTACATTTGTTAGTTTTTCTACAGAAGCCTGTGGCTGGACCTGTCCTTTTGATGAAGTAGAATTGTTTCAAAGAAGTTACCATGAATAAATGGTTCAGTGTAGTATCAGTACAGTAACTCTAGTGATTTTTGTCTTCCTTTTTGTTACAGGTATAGTATTTCATACATTCCATTTGCAAGGTGAGTTGTACAATATAGATTAACTAGAATTACTTTGTTTCTGGAAAAGAAACAAAATTCAAGAAGGACACAAATGCAAAATCAATTTTAAATAAGACATAGTCATGTTTAAATGCACTCTTTAACAGAGCTGAAAGATCATAATAAATTCCTTAGGATTTGAATTTTTATAACTGTCATAGCCTGATTCCTTTCCAATTCTGATGTATGGGCTGTCTGTTTTATCTCCATGTCACAAAAACATCTAAATAAGTGTTATCAATCTGACTTAGTGATTCTGGTGGTGACTTTTCACTGGAGTCAGGTCTGAAAATTCATACTTTGATTGCTGTATGGCTATTGAGGTACTGCTCGGTAACTCTAAATTAAAGTGTACACTTATTTAATTGGTATGAACTGTAAGTCGTTCAGAATTGCTTCTGATGGAAGGTCTCTGAACTAACACGTTAACTCTGCTCTCCGTATGGATGCTTCTCATCTGCCTATTTCCAGTTATTATTTTAGATTTCCAACATCTATTTTGCTTTGTCATCAATTTAACATTGTTTGAAAATATGATGAAAAGCTTCATCCTGCTAAGTTGCAATAAAAAAAACTAATTCCTGAATGTACACACCATTTCATTTGAGAAAATACGCTAGAACTCTGAAGAAGCAATCTAAACTCCCCTTAATTCAGGGTACAGCACTTGTATACTTTTGCATTCGCATAGGATTGTAAGAATAATTCATGTAGGCAACTTGTGTCATTAATTTTGCATATAAAATAGTCTTTGTCATATTATCTGTGTTGGTACAGTTATTGTTTCTCTGAATCAGAAGGCTGTAAGTTCTGAATTATAAATTGGAATTTCAGTGAAGTATTGAAAGAGATAACAAGGTGTAGAGCTGGATGAACACAGCAGGCCAAGCAGCATCAGAGGAGCAGGAAAGCTGACGTTTCGGGCCTAGACCCTCCTTCTGTTACATACCTGTGGTATCTTCAGTTGCTGCTGCCTCCTGGTCATATTCTTTCTCCTTAGCAGTAGGCTCACTGTGTTATCACTTGCTGTGAACACTTCCTGGACCCTTCTGAAGAAGGGTCTAGGTCCGAAACGTCAGCTTTCCTGCTCCTCTGCTGCTTGGCCTGCTGTGTTCATCCAGCTCCTACACCTTGTTATCACAGATTCTCCAGCATCTGCAATTCCTACTATCTCTGAAACAAGTATTGAAAGAGTGCTGCTTTGTTAAAAGTGCTGTGTTTAAGTTGAGGCTTGATGTTCACTCGGGTGATTGTTAAAGACTCCACGATGCCTTGTGCAGAATAACTATGTATCCTTATTCTCTGTTCGATCTTAATTCCTCAACCAACACAGGTTAACTGGTCTTTCACTTAATTGCAGTTTATAGTATCTTTCAAGGAGCAATTTGGTTGCCACCTTTTCTTGTACAAAGTAATTTCAAGAATTAACAGTTCTATAAAAATAATCCACTGTGGTCCACTTTATGTGAAGCCCTGATAGCATCCCAGATGTTATTACTTTTTACATCAAAGTTACATACCTGTGGTATCTTCAGTTGCTGCTGCCTTCTGGTCATATTCTTTCCCCTTAGCAGTGGGCTCACTGTCTTATCACCTGCTGTGAACACTTCCAGGATAATTTTGCATGCATTTTTCCTGCTATGCATAGCCTTTTAACTATCTCATCACACCGCTATAACAGTTCAGACTGCAGCTACTGTTAAAGGAGATCCTGTTGGTTGTATAAAATAATTTTGGTAAATATGTTAGTATTTCTTATGGAAATTTATTATCTCTTAAATTTTGACCAGGCTACATTTGTTAAAATAACAATTTTTTATAGGTTTTGGGTCTGGCATAAGTGATGTTGTCAAGTTTTAAATTATTACTTATTGTAAACCATGTTTTATATTGTTTGGGAAACAGTTCACCATCAGTGTTTTAAAAAGCCAAATTTTGATTCTGAATGATGGAGTACAAGAAGTGACATTTGAATCATTTATTTTACAGAGATGCTGTGATAAAGTGCTTTACAACATGTTTGGCATGAAAACTATGTTTCATGAAGGAGGAACGTTGAGCTAAGGGTGGAGCATCTGTTATGCTTTTTGTACCTGTTTACACAAAATCCTCTAAGTGTCTTAATGTATGCTGCAATTAATTCTCTCTCTTTCCTGAAGCATAACTTCATACTCACAATTGGATAGTTTACAAATCTTGGTACACTTTTCCATAATTTTAAAAGGATGATTGTTATCCTGTAAAGTGACATTCCATTTTTTAGATAAGGATATGGACAATACAAATTCATACTTTGAATACTACATAACTTTTCAGAAAATGGTGAGTCATTTTTAAAAGCAAACACACAAGTATTTTGTAATAGTCTTTCAGAACCTGTGCTATAGCTTTTATTTTCACAAATGCATCCAGGAGTATGGCGATTTAATTCGTGAAAATCCAAAGGGAGAAATTGAAAACTTTGAAATTTATTTGGATATTGATAATTGTGCTAAACATTATTTCTTAAATTCTGGCTAAAGAGTGACCTGCTGATATAAGTGCATTGCCTTAATCATGTAGTTGTGCTAATACTTTTGCAATTGAAATTTGTGGTTTTTACAAAAGTGACTATAAATTAATAAATGTCTTTTAGATGTTACTTTTGAGCCTGGTAACATTTCTAACAAAACAAAATCTGATCATGAGAAATGATTTACATTCCAAGTTTTAAAGAAAAATCAGTAAAAGTGCCTTCGTTTTGGGGAATTCAAACAGTTATGTTTCCAGTGGTCAGCTACAGTCTGAGTTGAACAATTTTCAATATACTAATACCTAGAAGACCACGTAATCTGCTAAATAAATTTCTTAATGTATTTTTATGCCTTAGATGTTTGTGAAGATGTGCCTTTTGTGTCAATGTAATGTATGTCTGTAATACAAAGCTGAAGTGAACCTGGTTGTGTACAGGATTTCTGAAGGTTCATAGTTTATAGTTCTTGCTGTACTGTACTACAGGCTGCCTGCTAATTATGTTTAAGTGAAAGGGCCAGAACTTAATAAATATATATTTTTTTGCCGTGAAATTTTATGCAGATGTCTTCAACACTATTTTACCAAGTAAATCCTAATTACTTCTAAAACCTGTAGTTTTGGAAACTGTAACACTTTCCCACCACCCAGCCTAGAAATCACTTTTTTTTAATAATTCATGTTTATAAATAGCTGTTCTTAGCTATTGCAATCAAATGGTAATAATTTTGTGATCTGCAGTAACATGGTATAAAATTTTGTGCAGTTTTGAGTTTTTAAACTCTCCACTCTGGTTATGAAGTTTTGACTTTCTAGACTCTTATTTGAAGTGAATGTGAAAAGAAATTCCCAAAGAATTTAACACACACTTTCCATTTTGGGTTTTAGTAAAATGTGATGGGATTAGGTTAATTATTCCAGAGTTAAGTTAACTTAATTGTAGCTTCTAGTATTAATGGAAGTAGTTAGACTGAAGCAGTTTTTGAGATCAACAGATTGCCACATATACAATTACTTACACTATCATCTTTAACATAGCAAACATTGCTTAAAGTTGTGTTTTTTTTTGTTTGCTTTCTTTACCCACTTTTTCCCTCTTTCTCTGTCATCTGTTGTACATTTAGTAGTGTGCATATTAAAATATTTCCAGTTTTCTATTACATTTGCATGTAATCAGAGATTGTCATGTTTTCTGACCCTATCTGCTATGCTACATTTGAGCAATGAGTGCCTTAAAGCACATGTTGCATTTTGGAATTATGATGTGCTGCTTTGTTTAGAGCCAAACTTGAATCTTTATTACATTGTCTTAACTACTGTTAAACTAATTATCCTTAAGATTTAATAGTTTTGACTCTTTTCTATATGCCTTGTGAAACTTTACCAGTCTATTAATCACTTTGAGAGCATTTGAACACTAATTATGTTTTATATTGGAAAATTCAGTCACAACTTTAAAAAAGAATGAAAATATATCTTTCAAATGTAATCTTCAAGAACATTGAAACCCATTAGGGTGCTTATTACTGCTTCAGCTGAATTCAGTACAGACTTGAGGTCTAACCATAGTGGTAACCAAACCTGAGAGACTCTTTATTCGCAGTGCTATCATAGCTATTGGCACACTGCCTTTCATAAATGTTTCTAGTGGATGTGGAAAATTGGAAGGAGGAAAAGTATCCACCTTTATTTAACTTTTACCCTCCTCTATAACTTGGGGCTCCTGTCTTTTTATTTAGTGACAATAAATGGTAAATAAATCTTAGCAGTGTAGTTGCTTGTTTATGAAGCCATGGGATGAGCATGTTCTTGCATTTGTAAGTATGCATTTCATAGTTTAGTATTCATATAATTTGAGCTTTTGGTGGAAATTTCTATCTTGACCTAGTGTTGCCTTTGTGAATTGTTTGCTGCAGTTATTCCATGTAGTATTTGTACTGTCACTCCTTGCACTTTTATATTTCAAATCTCCTTTCCCCTAAATTACAAAATAAATTGAATCTATTTTGGATACTCTAGTTCTCATTAAAAGTGTGCCGTTATCTTTTAACTGGTACATTTTCAAGAAAAATTGTGTACAAGTTTATTTTCATTTTTGATGTCAATTTGTGATAGAGGGATTAAGAAGGATACTGTATGCAGATTTTTAAAAGCTGTCTCTCTGCATCCATTGAACTGAGAATATTGTGTACACAATGCTATTTGCATGTACAGGCAACTGGCTTCAAACTGGAATTTAATTTTGTGTGCAAGAATTAAACATTAATGTGTTGGAAGTTCTGGTGTAATCTGTGTAAATGACATACAGACGTATAATTCTACAATTGTATTGCATGTTTTGGAATCGGTTTGCATTATTCTAGATATTGGTGTGGCAGAATAGTTTCATTTGTGTATAGAATCCTGTATAGTAAATAAAGTAAAATTGATTAGCAAATTTTGTGAAGATGTAAAATCTATGTACACTAATGCTATGTCTAACTTTGTATAAGTGCACCTTGTCATTAAAATGAAGCCAAAAACAATTCTCTTGTATTTAACATAAATGTTACTTCCCTAAATGGAATCAAAATCACTTTCAATCATCGCAGTTATTGTAATTTTAGCATAAGAAGTTGTTTCAAGTTTCTCCAGATACTCAAGGTGCCCAAATTGGTATTGGAACTTTGATCATTGCACATTTCAGTAATGTTTTTACATTAAATTCTTGACTAACTTCCAATTTTTGTCCTTAACTAATAAAAATTCAAAGACTGGCAACATAGGAATTCAGGTACAAATATCATTTTGAAAAATCATGAACGAATACAGAATCTGAAAGACTAACTTAATGTTTTAGTTTATTTTAATGCTGTCTTTTTACTTTAATGCTGTCTAGGAACTAGAATACATTGTGAAAAATAGAATAGAGAGCAACTAGGATGGGGGATTTCACAACTAACGGCATATTTTTAAGTTGAATGGAGAGAGATTTTAAAAAGACAGACATGAGGGGCAAATATTTTACACAGAAGGTGGTCTGCGTGTGGAATGAACTTCCTGAGGAAGTGGTGGTTGCAGACACAGTTAGTGTTTAAAAGACACTTCGATAAGTATGTGAATAGGAAAGGTTTGGGGAGATATGGGACAGGAGCAGACAGGTTAGACTAGTTTAGTGTAGGATTATGTTCAGCATGGACTGGTTGGAAAAAGGGTCTGTTTCCATGCTGAATGGCTCTATATGTTTCAACTTTGGACACTAAAGAAATTATCTTGGGGATGATATTGGCTTTGGGGAAAGTATGATCTAGATTTGTCAACATAATACCTGGTCTACCAGGGTAAATTACAACCTGACATAGAAACTAGGTTTGCAAACCTTGGAATTTAGATGGTGAAAGGATAATTTGATTGAAGTTTTCAAGATGTTAAGGAAAACAGATGAAGTAGATTGAAGGAAGCTATTCCTGCTGAATGGGAAGTTTGTGACTTAGGTCAAAGTGTAAAATTTATAGCCAAATCACTTAGGAATGAAATTAGGAAGGGCTTCTGCATGCAAAAGGTAGTACATGTGCAGAACTCTCCTGCAAACACAATCATCTCAGCTCTAGGCCATTGCTGGAGGGGTTTCTCAGTGTCCTCGGCCCTACCATCTTCAACTGCTTCATTAGTGACCTGTGCATCTGTAGAGGAAAAACAAATTTAAGAGTTTTGATTCCAGTGACACTTCTTCAGAACTCTCCAGGGTATTCTATAGCCACCCAGTGACATCATTGACCCTAGTGCTAGGGAGGCAATACATCATCATGGATTCATGTTTGCAGCCACTGAAATGTTTCCCTACTGTCTTAGCTATCAAATCATCCAACACAATGTCTTCTAAAATTCCTCCTGCCTTCTGTGACGCCAAGTCACTCTTAGTATCATATGTTATTATTCTTCCCTTGTGTGGTATCTTATCAGTTTAAAAAAAACCTTTGTAAACTATCTTCCCCAGTTGGCCACTGAAAATACTCTATATGTTTGATAAGCACAACTTCACATTTCTCAAAATTATGTTTCTCTAATCATTTAATAAGCTTAGTATTCAAATAGATTCTTGAAGTCTATTGACAACTGAACTTGCATTAATTGATCTTTAGCTGATGGATTTTTGAACATTGAAGAGAAAATTTGCACGTTTTCCATCCTCTAGGTCCAATTTCTGCCACTTGAGGGAGCTTGAACCTGCAAGAAGGACATAACAATAATACTATTCTACTGTACATGTATGTTGACTCAGGGAAGTAAAAGTAATTGTTGAGCATCAAACTAATGAAAATTACTGCTGATGAACAATACTTTGCCTGCAGATTGAAACAGACGTCTGAATTTTGTCCCTGTTGTTAGTATTTTCCAATAAACAGGAATTAATATTAGGTAAAGAGCTCATCACTGAAAATGTGATTCACAATTTGCACCCCTCACCTTTTGAAGTAGCAAATACTATACTGTAGCCACGAATACGATACAATTCAAATTTATATATTTTACACTATGTTGCAGCATGTAAACCCCTTACTTGCCTCCTATTCTTTGTTAATTACATGGCATGGTTACTACACTTGCGGTATAAAGGATACTTAATACTACTTCTTCCAAACAACAGTGCTGGGGAATCCTTGGTTGAGGAAGAAAGCGGATATTTCAGAGGCTCCCTTGTTTGAAGTTGGCCTCATCTGAACATGTGCGACAGAGACAGAGGAACTGACAGAATGGAATGGAGTCTTTAGAGGAAGCAGGCTGCGAGGCATTGGAAATGTTCATTGATTTTTGCTTCCAATTTCCATGCCCTTACCTTCCCTGGTCTATCTCTGACTCCTCCCTTCCCTTTCTCAACATTTCTGTTTCTATTTCTGGGGATAGACTGGCCACTAATATCCACTATAAACCTACTGACTCCCACAGCTATCTGGACTATACGTCCTCACACCCTGCTTCCTGTAAACGCTCCATTACATCCTCTCAATTCCTCTGTCTCCATTGTGTATGTTCAGATGAGGCCAACTTTGACAAGGGAGCCTCCAAAACGTCTAGCTGCTTCCTCAACCAAGGACTCCCCAGCATAGTTGTCGATAGGGCCCTCAACCAGGTCCAACCTATCTCCTGCACTTCTGCCCTCACTCCCTCTCTTCCCTGCTGCAACAGCAATAGGGTTCCCCTTGTCGTTACCTACTATTCCACCGGTATCCACATCCAGAAGATCATCAGACGCCATTTCTGCCACCACCAGACACATTTCCCTCCCCTCCCTTGTCCACATTTCCCAGGGACCGTCCCTCTGGGATATCTTAGCCCACACTTCCTTCACTCCCAACAGCTCCCCACAGCCCCATGCCACTTTCCCCTGCAACTGCTAAAGGTGTAACACCTGCCCGTTTACCTCCTCCCTCACCAGTATCCAAGGGCCCAAACATACCTTCCAGGTGAAGCAGAACTTTACCTGTGCTTCCCACAATCTAGTCGACTGCATTCGCTTCTCACAATGTGGTCTCCTCTACATTGGGGAAACGAAGGGTAGACTGGGTGACCATTTCATAGGACATCAACGTTCTGCTCGCAAAACAGATCCTGAACTTCCAGTTGCCTGCAACTTTAACATATCACCCTGTTTCCTGACCAACATCACTGTCTCAGGCTTGCTGCAGTGTTCCAGTAAAGCTTAGTGCAACTTGGAAGGACAATAACTCATTTTCCGCTTGGGGATCCTGCAGCCCTCCAGACCCAATATCGAGTTCAATAATTTTAGGGCCTGAACTTCCTCCATGTCCTAGCCGCCTACCACACGCTCTAGGCCTTGTTATCAGATAGTCTACCATTATGCACTACCTATTGTTAGCCACTAACAGTCTCCATTAACAGCTATTCACCCTCCTAGCCTGATAGTTGGACAGACAAAGGAATGGATAACAGTTCTTCTTTCTCTTTGGGCTCTATCCCCACCTATTGTTTACTCCTTACCCCCTCCCCGACCGTATCCCATGCATATAAAGTGACATTTTCATAGCTACCATCAGTTCTGAGGAAGGGTCACTGGACTCAAAACATTAACTCTGATTTCTTTTCACAGATGCTGTCGGACCTCCTGAGCTTTTCCAGCAACTTCTGTTTTTGTTCTTTTTTTTTGATGTTGATATAATTTACTACTTTTCAATCTATTTAAAGTAAGTATATAATTTAGATCTCTCATGAAAATAACTACTAAAGTACATTATCTGCAACATTTGAAATAGCTCACAAACCCTCATAACAGCAATGATTAAGTAATTTAATTAACATTACTTCTCAAAAATATGGTTTAGAACAAAATTGGAAAACCCCTTTGGAGCAGTGTGAATAAAGTAGGAAAATGCTATTACCTGCTGTCGACAGTCGTTTTATTAACTATTCTTGTTCTGCCTCATTTTAAAATAAAACATTTGCCATTGAAGATGTACAAGCAGTATTCTTACAACATTTTCAAACCTTTATTCCTAAATTCGCAAAAATGTTTTTTGTGGTCATTTCAATATAAAGTCATTGGATACATATTTGCTTCAGCAAAAAAAAACTCAAAGCCTCTACCTAGCACAGTCTCTCTTCTGCTGAGCTGAATATTAGGAACAAAACATAAATCCCAATTTGAAAATCTCGATCATAAAATCCTGATTCATCAGAGACTGAATCCTTCATAAACGTCTTCACTCAAATACATCTGCTTTATGGTGCCTTACTGAAGGTATTATATTTTAAATGTGAACATCAATTTCTGCTGTCAGAAGCCAGGGTCATCACTTCTGACACCATTATCTTGTATTTCGGTTGTGGTCTTTAAATAGAAAACATCCCAAGGGACTTTACAGGAGTGTTACCAACTGACCAACTTAAAATCCATCTAGCAATAGTGCTGCCTGCTGTTTCACATGAGCAAGTCTTGGACCGTGTGCAAGTGTCATGCCAGGAGGTTCATCTGCTTTCACTTCAGCTGGCTTGGGAATCTTCTGCGGATCAGATGGTAAGACAAAATAAGAGATTCTGAGTTGCTCACATGAGTTGATCTGCTAAATGTCAACATTATAGTGGGACATTCCAAACTGATTTGGATTGGATATGTAGTCAGACACCTGCCACTCACTCACCAAAGTTAATATTCTTTGCAGACCTTGATTCTGAGGTCAATGCTCATGAGAACAAAGGAAGTGCTGCAAGAAGGCTCCGCTTATGCATTTTGGTGTTTGACTTGAAGTCCTGGGAGATGCTCACCCAGGATCACTGCAGCTGCCACCAGCAAACAAGAAATGGTGCGGCCTCTTTTAAAAGTATGTGTATTTCAGAAGGCAAAAGCAAAACACGAAGAGAGGAAATCCTGAGCCAGCAACTCATCCAAAGCTCACTTGTTTGTTGTGTCCTGTCCTATTTGACCTGGCCTTTTGAGACACAGAACAATTTAAGTAGTCAGCTACCGTACTCACTAGAAGCCAACAGGAATATGACTCAACAAAGCACAGGGCTCTAATA